ACAGCGCATTTATGGTTCATTTTTGGAATTAGGCATCCAGAATCTAGGCCATCGCTCTTAGGTTGGAGGCCATCGCTAGTATGGAGGCCATCGTTTCTAGAGCGGCCTTTAAAAAAGCCTTGAGCTACGCCCCGCGCAGAAGCAAACGCACCAATCCTGCACCTTGGTCGCATTGTATGCACCGTGAGGCCCAGGAGCAGCAACAAATCATCGAGCAGCAAGCGCAGTGCCTCGGCGAGTTTTCAGACCGTTCTCAAGTTCAGAAAAAGAACGATGGCCTCCAACCTACCAGCGTCCTTGCTCCTAGTAGCGATGCCCCTTGTTCCTAGTAGCGTCCTTGCTCCTAGTAGCGATGCCAGGAGCTACTAGTAGCGCCCTTGCTCCTACTAGCAATGGCCTCCAAAGAGCGATGGAGAGAGAATGAAAGGGATAGAATTGACTGTTTCGACCAGAAAAGCTTGAACTCCGAACTTGCGTGTACGTGAACTTGAGAACGGGATCAAGAAAGGTCTATAGCACTCTAGCGGCCTACCCCCGGGCTAACAAAGTTAGGAGGAATCTTCGGTAAACTGCTTGTGTTCGAGTAAACTACTAGTAAGGCACTTGTAAACTACTAGCCTGGCACTTGTTACTACTAGTAAGGCACTTGTTACTACTAGAGTGTTCGAGTACTTCGTAGCAGGGGCTAATGATGGCTGGTTCTTTGGCCAGGATCCTGGATTTCTTGGAGCGTGAGATGGCATCTTTCAAGGCAAGAAGTTGTTGACGTTCTCCACCATCATGAGGTTTTCAATCTGACTTCGATCGGCCATCTCGGACACCTCCTTTCTTTGAGACTTGGATCCTGCTTGGAACATCGCCTACTTGTGTCTTATTCGGACCTCTCTAGCAGCCTTCCTTACGTAGTCAACTCCTTACAAACAAAAAGGCTACCTACAAAACAAACATGCCCTTTTGGTTCTCATTTGGTTCAGCTGCAAGGTGCAAGTTCTACGCTTAAAGCGCAGACGTGTTCAGACAAGCCGAGAAGATCGTGCTCGTCAGCGGCTATTGGCCTGCCACGTCGGAAGAAGAAAAATCCAAGGCGCCGTGAAACGTGAAACGGCGCAAAAAGGACTTCCTTTTTTAAAAGAGGGGTAGGCCGCTAGAGGTGAGGTAGAGGTAGCTAGGAAGCTACTACAGACAGGACACAGGATAGATTGCGCCGCTTCAAGGCAGCTCCCCCACCGCCTTTAGGGCGTCGGGGGAAGCTTCCTTGAAGAAGCGCGCACACTAATGATTTGGTTTCTAGTAGCTTCTTGTTCCTAATGATTTGGTTCCTAGATTTTTAGGGAAACTTGAAGTGCAGATAGTACATCCGTCATGAGAAGTCATTCGAAGAAGAGGCAATAACAGACGAAAAAGTCTAAAGAAAAGGAAGTGGAAGAAAACAATCAGTGACAATGAAGGAACCATAAGTAGCAGGTTTGTAAGACTGGACAAGGAGTAGTATGGGGTAGGGTGTTCTTCTGATCTTTTCTTTCCACGTAAAGAGATCAACGCATGATACCTGAAGCTTGATGTCTCAAATGCCTCAACCTGCATGGGTTACCAAAAAGGACGACTATGTCACGACTTATTTGCGGTGAAGCTCTCAAGCTAGCAGCGATGCCCTTTGCTCCTAGTAGCGTCCTTGTTCCTCGTAGTAAGGCCAGGAGCCCCTAGTAGCGTCCTTGCTCCTAGTAGCGATGCCAGGAGCCCCTAGTAGCTTCAAGCAATTGTTAAGAAAGAAAAGCATGTTCCAAAGTTGCCACTGGTTGCCACCGTGCCAGATTTGCTGAGAGTAGCAGACTTTGCCGCCTGATGCTTTGAGCGCTTGGTGAGGATGGCCTAGGCCAGCACCTTAATCAGTTTTACAGCAGAATGTCTTCTACACATTTTGACCTTTTGGAACACGTTTATTTAGATATATGTTTTGAATTGTTTTGACATGCTTCTATTTTGCACATCTGTAGATGTGGTCTTAGGAGTGTTCTCTTGGTCCATTTTCCTTGGTGCAAGGCACTCGACCGAGAAGAAACAGCAGACGGACCTTGACATAAGCTTTTGTGGGACTAGCATGTACATGTTTGAATCTATTCATATGAAGCTCTTATGAAACTTATATTCAGATGTGCAAGATTCTAGGCTTAGACATGATATGTGTTTGATCTTCTCTCTAGGCTGTGACTCTTGCAGGAGCCCGCGACCCACTCAAAGATCTGTAAGACTTTGTGTTTTGATTCTAAGAAGACACGGTGATTGTTTCTATGCCTTTCTCCCTGGAAAGCGTACTGTTCCACGTTTCCCCTGCCTGACTCCGACGAAGCACTTGCAACTGTGTTCCAGCTGTTGAACGGTACCTCCTTTGGTTGTAGCATGTTCCTTTGCAACAACACATTCGCAAGCCAGGAGGGGATTCCTGTTGGGCTTGAATGCTTTGCCATAGAATCCCGCTGGCCCGCTGGAGGTCGGATTCTCCAATAAGGCGGAGTTCAATGCCACGATTAACTTGATGATCCATCGCCACTGCAACTGGAGAAACGCAGGAAACCCAGCTCTACACGAAACGCGCAACCATGTCCAAACAGAAGCTTGCTGTCCAAACAAGTTCAACGAGGTATAGTCCTTGCGGACATTTGGTTCCCAGCGTCGGAGGAAGACAGTCCATACCGAGTATAAGAATATCGCGGTCAGCAGTGGATTGGTCAATGAACGTGAACGAGCTGCAAACTACTACAGACAAGAAGATTCAACAACCTTCCAAGACATAAACGTAGAAACAAAGCAAGGATGAGCCTCGGTTCTGGTCTCCAGACCCTATTTAAATGAGGTTTCCCACCATATCCAACATCAATGGTGAGATTGTCATGGCTTTGGAGGCAAGGCCAAGCCCTCAAAGGAAAGAATGCTAGCTTGCAAGTTTGCTGTTTAGCGTGAGCGGCAAACAATCCATGGACCACAACGGATGGTTCAAACGTGAAGAGACAGCTAGTCAGCTATATACTTGATGAGTGAGTTCAGAGCACTTTGGGCACCACGACCCCAAAAGAATGTACGTCACGCTGTACATCCAACAGTTCTAGCCAAGAGTTGTTTTCATGAAACCAATTCAGAGCTGACCAATTTTTCTACTGAGCAAGGACGCTACTAGGGGCTCCTGGCATTGCTACTAGGAGCAAGGACGCTACTAGGGGCTCCTGGCATCGCTACTAGGAACAAGGACGCTACGTGCAACCTCACCTCCTTGTCACCTTTGCGTCACACTCTGCGCCTTATTCAAGATCTCTGCAGGGATTGCCGAGCCTCGTCATCGGCGGCGGCCTTGGTCGGATTGATGCTTGGGTCCGCGTAAAGAGCGCCAGATAAGTGACTCACGGGTTCGGGTTCATGGTGCACATGCTTCGTAAAGTGATTTGGTGTCCAGGAAAGTGCTTAAAAATAAATTAATAGCTTCTTGTTACTACTAGTAAGGCACCTGTTACTACTAGCGTGGCACTTGTTCCTAGTAGCTTCAGGTTTCTCGTGTTCTGTCCTAGTTCCGATGATGTGGGGGTTGTCTTCGTGCGCTCCACGTCATGGACTTTTTTTTGGCAAGATCGTGACAGGATTTGAGTGCCGTTTGTTGGTCTTTCCAACGGTAACGAACAAAAAGCAGAAAACCAAGCAAACAAAAGAACAGTGTCTCTTTCTCTTCGTCTCTCTTCACGGTTCGTCGTCACAGGTTCGAAGGGTGCAGTCGTTTCCCTCACAAACCGGGTTCGAGCGAAGAGCGAGGAGGCCGACCAGGCGCTTTGTGGCAAAAGACACGTCGACATCGTGTTATTCCTTACACTCTGCACACTCTGTCGACAAGCACAAGACAGAACATGTTTGAAGGGCCGAACGCAGTGAAGATTGTTCCTAGTAGCTTCTTGTTTCTAATGCTTCTTGTTCCTACTAGTAAGGCACTTGTTACTGGAAGCGATGAAATTTGGCTCAAAATAGGGTGCCAAAGGTGTACCCACACATTTGATCGCTTTTTCATCGAAGTGGAAACGGGTGCCGACATTGGGATCACCAACAGAGTCGCATCAACTTTCTGCGGTGAAGCTCGTGAACCCCAGCGAAACGCTGTGCCCATTGTACCGTGCGATGACACAGCTTTGTTTGCGTGGGCTGATGGTGGTCATGACCCTCACTGCAGGACTACTAACAGCCATCAATGTTGGACAATTCCTCCCGAGCAGATACCTTCCTGTGTTGGGACTTGCAGACTTGAACTCGCCGGAAGTGAAGCCAGTGAAGATGGAAGTTCGGAATAAGATTCTTTGCCATTCTTTGGTGGACCCTGCCCTTCCGCTGCAGTCCTTCCTCCGCACGGTCGACGTCCCTCCTGGACATGTGTCCGAAGCCCAGCGCCTGGTTGCCAAGGGCACCTGGCGGGATGCGGGGCACTGGCCAAAGAACTTGGCCATTTACGACTTCTACCAGTGGATAGCCAAGTACAAGATCCAATCCCCCAAGCGACTGGTGGCTTTCAGCGATGATCCGGAGAACTCCTTGTTGACCCCAGAGGCGACTCTAAACTTCTTCTACACGCCGGAGACAGGGGAGAATGACCTCCACTCCATGGAGGCCAAAAAGGAATAGAATAAGGGAATAGACAGGTATATAAAGAAAGGTTAAAACGAAAGCCTACTAGCGATGGCCTCCAACCTACTAAGGTTAAACAAGCATAAAGAAGACAAATTGATATATTGTTACCATTGTTACATGCTTATGGTGTTTTTCTTTTCACCTCCGCTCCATGGAGGCCCTGAAGAGTGTCAGGGACTTTAAGCCAACGATGGTGTTGCTTGGGAACATCAGCTGCAAATTTGCCTGACCTGCTGATCTGATATTTTTTGGGGAGGGGGGTGAGAGAGCTCTAAATCTTTTGTTTGCCATTTTGACCTCAGCGGAGGAACCTTTTTCCACGCTTGCATGATCCACAGCTTGCAATGTCCAACTTGTTCGACGTCTTGGAAGATGGAGGATATGCATTCTTGTCTGCGCCGTTGACCGGAGTCTCGGACAAATTGCCCTTTCACTTTTACCACAGCACGTGGACTGGCTTGGCCACTTTGATGAATCGATCTGGTTTTGAAGTCTTGGAGATGCGGCGCTGGGGAAATTTGGACTATGAAGTTGAGATTTCCAAATTGAACTCCGAGCCAAAGAGCGATGACTTGACCAACTTGCAACACCAAAGGTTTCACGAGGATTTCGCGTGGGGTCTTTTTCGGAAATCGGCCGCCAAGTACAATCAGACCTGCTTCGGTACTTCCACTCGCTGGCTTCAGCACTGGGCCTACACAGCAAGCGAAACCATGAATCTTTGGAATGTGATTGAGCCCAGCATGCGAGGTCGTCCGACAATGACTGATGATGCCTTCAAAAATGTCATCCTGGCTGCGGGAATATTGCGTAATAGCAGTGATTTCCCGCGAGCTCCGGCGATTTTGCATTACAAGCAAATTCTGAGAAACTTGCTCAGATTTAGATTGTAAAGAATTGAAGGGTCACTCAGCTTGCGGGGTTTTGGATTCTCCTTTTGAGCCAAACAAGGAACGTATTCGAATGAAATCAAGGCGATTCCCCAACTGCTGTCATTTGGTGGTGCAGAATATGAATTGCACCTGGGTCCTCATCAGCGTCGCGTCGTTGACTTTGGTCCTTACCGTGGAACTTCTGGGGATTTGCACAAGCTCAGCTTGGAGGATCTCACTTCAAAGCTGGCACCGGGCACCGCTGGCGTGGATTTCTGCATTTTGGGTCAGACTCTGGAGCACCTCTATGATCCGTACCTGGCAGTCCAAAACCTCTTCGATGTTACCGCGCCCTGCGGCTTTCTTTTCACCAGCACTCCTTTTGCGAACATTCCGCATATGATGCCACATCACCACTACCATTACAGCAGCATGGGCCTGGCCATGCTTTTCCATCGGGCTGGATTCGAGGTAGTGGAGATTGGGCAGTGGGGCAGTCAGGAATACCTCTCCAAGCTGTTCCAAACGACGCTCGCCGCAGATGAACGGCTGAAAAACCTGTTTTGTGAGTGTTGTCAGTTTGCTTTTTACGACTGCCACGCATGTGACTGTAAGGGGTAACATCAGTGAAAGTTTTCTTCGATGCGGCGTGCATTGAAAGGATGCGGTGGCCAGGAAGGGGAACGCTGCAGAATTTGGAAGGTGATGCCTCAGTAGTGGCACAGGTTTGGGGGTTCTTCCGCAAGCCCTGCAAGAATTGATGCAGTGTACAAACGCCTTTCAAAGACAAAGGCGGAAAGAGCGGTGGTAAAATGGCGATATTTGGCGCTACACTGCATCACCCTTGGTGTGCTGGAAGGAAAGCTAGATGAGGCCGTGCACAAAGAAGGGTAAAAGGCCTTTAATTGAACTGCCTTCCGTGTTAAACATGTCATCAAGGTCTGGTAAAATCCTGCCACCTGTGAGGAGCAACCCGAGTAAATCCTGGCTGTGAATAGACATGTCACCACATGAAAAACTGCAAACTGGTGCAGGTTGATTCCGATGTGGGCGCATTGGGCAGAACTTGACCACTCCAATCTCCCAGAATCTTCCAATTCCCAATCCCTTCTAGGTTGGAGGCCATCGCTAGTAGGTTGGAGGCCATTGCTTCT